GCTAATCCCTGCTTTATTTATGGAAATTGTATATTTCGTTCAAACTTACATGAAAATTCTAAGGAATGCATGGAACTAACCTATTTACACCAACTAAAATTTACCAACTCGGTAAGCATGTCATGACTAGATCATTAAAAGTATAAAATAAGATCAAAATGTGATTCTGTGTTATGTACGTAGTAGTCATCAATTATGTGTATTAATTAAAAATATATATCATCCTTAAGATAGGATAATTACCATAATATATATATGCTTAATTTAATCAAGGAATTGAAAAAATAATAAAATAGGGGGAGAGGGAGTCCAGCTGGAAGAGTGTAAAATAGAAAGAAAAGGAAAGAGAGGTGAGAGTGATCACGAGACACACACACACATCATGACTCATGAGACACGCACACGTGCACGCGCGCGCAGAGAGAGAGAGAGAAAAATTGTTTCTTTTTAAGAACCAAAAAGATTTGTGCCAAAAATAATGGATGCGAAGAAGAATAAGAGACCTTGGACACGTAACGGATCTTGAAGTACTATTTACGCGTCCCCCTGACCAAACCCCCAGGAAAAGCATGAAAAAAAAAGGCTCGAATGGTACGATCCTGCCGTCACCCCAAAATGAAAGGGGCGATGTCGTAGTTCAGAGAGAGAGAGAGAGAGAGAGAGAGAGAGAGAGAGAGAGAGAGAGAGAGAGAGAGAGAGAGAGAGAGAGAGAGAGAGAGAGAGAGAGAGAGAGAGAATGGAAGAATAAGTTAGCTAGAATGGAAGAATAAGTTAGGAGATTCTTTGCCTATCTCAATATCCAAGTAAAATTACTTCTTGATGAAGTCAAACAAGTGTTAGTTCGCCACGAGAAGAGTAGGAGATTAAGAATTCTTGAACATGTTAAAATATAAAGTATTTATAAAGATGCATTTAAATATTTGGGATCAATAGTAAAAATATCAGAGATTGATAATGATGTAAATCATAAAATTGGAGCAGGTCAAATGAAATAATATAAGGATAAATTATTCTATTTATATTTTTTTCTTGTCTACCTTACCTATTCATTTTCAACACCATTGGGATCAGAATCTCAAGAGGAGAAAGAAATAGTGAGATTCTGATACAATGGTGTAGAAGATGAGTAGGTAAGGTATGTAAGAAAAAAAGTTAGATAAAATATCCTATCTCAATAACATAACACATTAATATTTTTGTGTTATCACAAAATTCCTCTTAGGTTGAAAAGAAAAAAGTTTAGAATTGTAATAAAGCTTGAAATGTTATACGGAGCATAATGTTGACCAACATATATAGAAGCAACATGAACATAGAATAAAGGTAGCGGAAATTAGGGTGTTAAGGTGTATGTGTAGTTATAAAAGACCAAAAAAATAAAATATGAAGATATTCAGTGAAAAGTTTGAGCAATACCGTAATGGATGGAAGATAAGAAAATAAAATTTGAGATGGTTAGACATGTTTACCAAAAGAAAATTTTTAAAATTCTGAGAGTGAGATTGAGAGAATTCAATTTATTCACATTTAATACAAGGGTTGTAAAATTTTTCCCGAAAATGTCAGATTCTCGTTATTCATGTTTATGAAGAAAAATTCTATCTTAAAATACCACCAAATGGGTGGTATTTTGAGAATCTCACGTGATGAGAATATTTGATAATTTTTTTGGGACATAATTAACCTCAATCCACATTGCTACCAATATTTTACAATGAACCAAACATAACATCAAAAAAATTAACCAAATATTTTCGTGAATATTTTAGCCTACCAAATAATTTTTTAGTAACATTTCAGGGAAATTTATTTTTCCACTTTATTTCATGGAATCGTCATTCGCGGATAAACAAAAATTTCTCCCCTAAAGATTTTTCACAAAACATGACACAATAAAAGGAAGATGTAGAACTAAATTTACGCCATGAAAATTAATTTAACAAGACTCAAAATGAAGTAAGAAGTAAGAAATGCGTACGATTTGTTTTAGAACGAATGGGAGAAAAACCATTAATATTGTGGAGGGTAGATTTTTCTATATTGTAAATAGTCTTTTTTAGTCATTTTTCCTGTTTTTTTTATTATTGACTATTGATTTTGGAATAAAGATAATATTGATATTGATGCTATATGTTTTGATTTGAGAGTTTTATTATTTAAGTATAAACACTTCATATAGAACTACAAATTTTGAAATACAACCTATCAAATTACAACCTTAAATTGAGTTATAAATTTATATTTTGAGTTCATATATCCAAAATTCTACTCTTTTATATATATATATATATATATATATATATATATATATATATATGAAAAAAGTTATTATTTTAAATGATGGTCATTTTAGTTAAAACTAGTGTTTTTCATTTAAAATTTAAATTAAAAAAAATCACCATTTTTCCCTCCATAATTTTCATTGTGTTTCTCTTTCTTTCACTTAAAAGGACACAATATGTTCTTTGAAATGAGAAACACCAAACTCTATATATTTTAA